ATTTATTTCACAGAGAGCAAAATTCCAATAAGCAACCCAATTCCAAATGCCACATTTTGTATTATTCTAGATTCCACAGATATATAAACCCAATTTCCTAGTTTCCAACAGACCTCACAACCTCTGAGGATGCCTGCCATCGATGCAGGCGAAACGTCAGGAGAGAATGCTTCTAGAATATGGCCATGCAGCCTGGAAGATTCACAACAACCCAGTGATTCTGGCCATGAAAGCCTTTGACAAGCCTTATTTTGTTTAATGGTACTTATTTTATAGGCGCAGTCTAAATTATCAGACTTTAAAGGAGAACTCACTTATGTGCAACAAGCACCAAACCCCAAAAAGCGGGTTCTAACAGGAAGATCTGAGTAAAGGCACCGTTCCATCAACAAATTGCCTTTTCTAATCTGTTTCAGGTTTATTGTTGTGTGCTTTCGAGTCATTTCCAATATATGGCAACCTCAAGATGGTTTTCTGGAATGGAGAGTTTGATTCTCCTGAGGCCAAAGTCCTGAAAATAGTTAATACAGCAAAAACATTGGTATTACCAGCAAATGGGAAGAAGATGATGCTCCTGATAGAAGCATCTGTATTGTACATATTTGTAAACATTTGTTTGCCATATTTACACTTTACTTTTGTGAGCATGTCAGCATATACTTGGAAATATCTTAGCGGATTGTGCAATTAATATGCCATCAAATGTAATGGTGAAGAAGCCATAAGAAAGGATCCATTTGCCTAGTTTATTTATTATTTATCTCCGAAATCAGCACATTTCCCAAGTTCATTTCCAGGCTGCAGGAACAGCTCTCAAAACCACAGTAGTCAAGAGAACACTCTGTGCTGCTGGGTGATTACGAAAAAGTGTTTAGTTTGTGATGCAATTTAGATCTTCATTACGTGCAAAAATTAATTTGTAACATGTTTTGTTGTTGTTGTCTGTGTCTTCATACATTTCTGTAAAATAACTTCATTTCTATCTGTATGAGATTACCTTTATTTAACCCAAATGGTTGCTTATTCCTCACTCACTCTTCCCATTTCAAAAACCATCTTCTAGTAGTACTGCAATTCTCATCACCCTAAAAAAAAGTAAGGAGAAAATTATAATATTTCATAACATGGCATAAATTAGGTTTTCGACATATAAAGGCAGGCAGTCTCCAAATATGACAAGATAGGTTCTGTAGGTTTGTTCTTAAGTTGAATTTGCATGTAAGCCAGAACAAGTATATTTTTAAGTGTCATTCTAGCTATTCACACACATATAGGCAGTCCCCAACTTACAAACATTCAACTTACAAACAAACAACTCTCAGTTAAGAATGAAGGTGAGATAACAGGAAGTGAGAGAAATCTTTCCATCGGAAGGGAAATTCCCTCCTGGAAGAGTTATTACCATGGGAAAAAGGGGTCTCCACTGAAGCTTTCTCACCTATCCTTGTTTCCACAACAAACCAAAATTTTCAAAATCTAATTCTCACAGGCAGAAAAAGTGAGGTGAAATCTTCTGAACAGGGGCACAGACAGCAAAACAAATATCACAATCTGGTCTGCTTCAGATTCCTTGCATCTCAAAAGGCAAGGGCTGTTCTGGAGACAGCAAAAGTGGAAAATATAGTGAAGCAGGAAATATATGAGCGAAATAATCCTTCTTTTTGGCTTCTACTGATATCTAAATGAAATTTCCCTTTGCTCCTCAAAATGCACAATCTTGAAGTTACTCAAAAGTCCTATTAGAATCATAGCATTGGAAGAGACCTTGTGGGCCATCCAGTCCAACCCCTGCCAAGAAGCAGAAAAATTGCATTCAAAGCACTCCCAACAGATGGCCATGCAGCCTCTGTTTAAAAGCCTTCAAAGAAGGAGCCTTTACCACACACTGGGACAGGGAGTTCCACTGTTGAACAGCTCTCACAGTTAGGAAGTTCTTCCTAAGGTTCAGATGGAATCTCCTTTCCTGTAGTTTCAAGCCATTGTTCCGCATCCTAATCCAGGGCAGCAGAAAACAAGCTTGCTCCCCCCTCCCTATTACATCCTCTCACATCTTTATACATGGCCCTCATCATGTCTCTCTCAGCCATCTCTTCTGCAGGCTAAACATGCCCAGCTCTTTAAGCCACTCCTCATAGGGCTTGTTCTCGAGAGCCTTGATCATTTTAGTCACCCTCCTCTGGACACATTCCAGCTTGACAACATCTCCTTTCAATTGCGGTGCCCAGAATTGGAGACAGTGCGATTCCAGGTGTGGTCTGACCAAGGCAGAATAGAGGGGTAGATTGACTTCCCTGGATCTAGACACTAGACTCCTATTTATGGTGCCT